AGGCTTCATAAAAATTGATAGAATCAATTTAAGTACTATCTATTCAACCGAAACATTAACACTCCAAAATTCATGTTACCATTCCCGGCGATTTAATTAATGTAGAAAACGACTTTTTAATATTTTTTTCAGACCTGGGTGGTTATGCAGATTGTAGTAGCAATTTCCATAATATCAGCTTCCCATAGAACAATCAAAGTTACTTAGGATACATTTAAATAGATTATTTAAGTATATATGTTTATTTATACATCCATATAGATATATATGTAGGTTTTGTTTATGTAAGTACTAGCTTTTGCCCGCGACTTCGTCTGCGTGTAATTCGAATAAAAGCAAGGTCTTTATGTATCAATAACTGGTGCCCGCGACTTCGTGTGCGCAGTATTAGTATTTCGAGTAGCTTATATTAGCGTGAAAAGAACTAACATTATGACATTAAAATTATAACATACATAGCGATGAGCGACTTCTCCTCCCACCTCACCGCGACCGACCCCGCTCCATTCGCCCGCCGCGCCGCCCGTCGGACCGTAACATACCATAGTATCGCGCGTTCGGTTTGTCATCGTCGTAACTATTAAAATATTTGTCCAAATGATGTATTGTGAAGGACAAAATTTATCTCCTTTAAATACCAAAAGCGATAAAAGTATTCATTTTGATAAGGATCCATTTATTACTACCAAATGTGCATTAGAAATAAATTATCAATTTTTATTGTATTTATGGTTCACTATTTTGACAATAATGGCTTACTCATAAAAGATAGATATATATGGTGTCGCAGAATTTTTTGTAGGACTATTTAAGATAAATATTTTCACCATACATTATATACATGTAGCACTAACTGTTTTTGCAGCACACGCCTGAATAGCTCGCAGATTGCAGAATTTTTTCAGACTTAAATGACATTTATCGTTATATTTTGGACAATTCACACAATATCTTTATAAATTATAGCCTATGTGTTATTCTGATCTATAAGCTACATTACTGTAAAGTTTCATTAAAATCCGTTTAGTAGTTTTTGCGTGAAAGAGGAACAAACATCCATCCATACATCCATCCAAACAAACTTTCGCCTTTATAATATTAGTAAGGATTGTATTTTGTTATTTATATTCAGGAGGCACACACTGACGGCTTTCTTTTTTTTATGTTCTTTCCTTTCGCGGGCCTGCTGGAAAAAGTTTCAATATGAAATAAACAGTGCCCTTGCACAAATTTCTTGTTCTTGTTTTATTTATCTGTTTTATTGTGTGTGTACTAAATTAGTAAATAAATAAATAAATAGATCCATTATTCTGGCTTTACCCGTCTTTTACGGGGCGCTGTTAAAAACTCGTGCATTTTTAATATAAAACTTTGTTTTATACAAATAAAAGGTTTTCTAAACAGACAACGAGTCTGTAAAACCCTTTCGTGAATTTCCTACGAATCATGGCCATTTAGACGGAGTTGGTGTCAAGGTTAACGGATGGATAGGGAGCTTTTAAAAGCATTTCTACTAAATAGTGGTGAGAAATGTTGGAGATAGTATACAAACTTGTTACTTTAGAACTATTTGTTGTGACCTTTGGAACAAACGAAATTGTCGTACAACTATAAGTACTAGGGAGGTTATTGAAATAGTCCAAAGGTTTGTATCATAACATAACCCAAAGGCGTCCCCACTGCTGGGGCACAGGCATTCCCAAGAACGGATAAGGGAGATTGGGCCATGACCCACCACGCGGGCCCAGTGCGGGTTGGTGGGTGCTAACGACTGCAGATGCAGTCGGGACCAACGGCTTAACGTGCCTTCCGAAGCACGGTGGAGCTCGAGATAGTAAATTTTTGGTCACCCATCCAATGACCGACCACTGCGAAAGTTGCTCAACTTCAACGACTGCAGCCGAACGCGCTAACCACTGGCACCATCGAGCTCCTCTGTTGGTTTCTATAGTCTGAATTAAATGATGAAAAGTTATTTCATTAACCTGCGCCTACTTATTATTATGGAAGCTGATATTTTATTGGTTTAACGGATCCTTTAAAATCTTCCGAAATTTTATCTGTGTTATGACAATGTATGCTATACTTTAAGTAACTGAGTATGAAGATAGCCTTTTCCTATCTTAATATACGGAAGAAGAAACTGTCTGACTGACATATCAACGCACTGCCTAAACCTCTAGGTCTAGAGACATTAAATTTGGCACGTAGGTTCCTTATGAGGTCTAGGGGTGCACTAAGAAAGGATTTTCGATAATTCACCCCCCAAGGGGTTAAAATAAAGAATGAAAGTTTGTATGAAAAGTCTTATCCCTTGAGTCTATTAAAGACTTGAAACTTGTTACGAATACTTATCAAAATCAATAATAAAGTTTTTAATTTTTAGTTTTCCTAAACTACCCCCTAAGAGGGGATTGGGAGGGTCTCGAAGTTTTTATATGGATTAATTTTAAGGCGCATTTCGAATTACTCAAAACTTGTATTTTTATTAAAGACCAGAAATAAAGAATAACGTATATGAGGGTTTTCGAAAATCTACCACTAAGAAGGTAAAAAGGGGGATGATAGTTTGTATGAAAAATCTTATTCTTTACAACCCTATTTAGAAACATTTGCTAATTAGGTACGTTACATGTTTTTCAAGAAATCATGCGCAATACCTTTAAGTAATTTTAACTTCTTAAAGTTAGAAGCTATTGTTCTCCATAACTAATTACCGCCATATACAATAAATATACAATCTATACAGGTAGAGACTAAGCAACAGTTTGTTTTGACTTAAAATGTAGTTTGAAGAATGAATAACAACGCTTTTTCGGTTAATGGTACCGTAAACAGACAGCTTTAGTTGTCTTTAGTATTGGGTTTCAGTTTTTTGGCAATTTTGAACCTTAACGACAGGTATTTTTATAGGGTAATAATGGTCTAGATTGTATGACTAATAGGTGTTATATTTGATTGGGAGTCAAGGATTGAGGCAAGTGATGTAATATATACAAGAAACTATAGATTTTAAACCAAAACATGATAGGTTTCCGATAAATAAAACTGCAAACGATTGAATAATAAGCTATTGGATTTGCAATGTTGTTGTGAGTCGCGTTATGATATAGACTTTTCAATCACTTAACTTAAAATATGTCTATGGTAAAAAAAAGCTATTTAATTTTTTTTTTGCAACACACACTAATTAGCCTAGCCCCAAAGTAAACACTGTAAGGCTTGTGTTATGGGATGCTAGAGTAACGGATAGAATACATCAGTACAAATAGAAATACATATTAAACATCCATGACTGGAGTACAAATGCTCGTGTTCATCACACAAACATCTTCCCCCATTGGGATTCGAACTTGGGACCTCTCGAGTCGGCGAAACCATGAAACCCGGCGTACAAACCACTCGGCCACGGAGGTCGTCAAATTATTAAACAATCACAGGAAGACTCAACCTGTGTTGATGTTTACTGTGGGTCGTTGAACTATACACTGACGTGTGACATTTTATACATAGAAACATAAATACTGGTTACTTGCAAATGAATCGAACAAAATGACCACACCTCACGATGTTTTTGTGGAATAATAGCATTTCTGGTTAAATCGCCTGATCGTGACATGTACGCTTTTCCATTGTTTAAGTAATTTTCATAACCATTTTTAAACACTTATCCAGTTTCATGACCTGATAGACAAAAGAAGTATTGATAAGATTCCTATTAGAATGGTGGATACAGTTTTTTTTCGAAGATGAATATTTTTTCTTTCTTCAATGTTATAGCACTAACAAGATGGTACTAAAACAGTTCCAGTTACAAATGCTTAAAAAAATACACGTAACTCGTTTTTTTCTTTCGAAAACTTTTAACAGCATTTTACTTTGCTACAGAAAGTAAATCATGTGACATTGACGGGATGAGCAATGTTGATGTCTGTCGCCAGATCAGCGGGCCTCTATAGTACATCTATACCGGCAATATGTTAACTCACCGTACATCTAATATTACATCTATACCGACAATATGTCTCACAGTAATGTAGGCGCCGTACGCTTGCTGCAAGTCGGTGATTATGATGGGTTGAGCGATGTTGATGTCTGTAGCCAGATCAGCTGGCCTCTATAGTACATCTATACTGGCAATATGTAGACTCACAGTAATGTAGGCGCCGCGCCGTACGCTTGCTGCAAGTCGACGATTATGATGGGTTGAGCGATGTTGATGTCTGTTGCCAGATCAGCGGGCCTCTATAGTACATCTATATCGATAATATGTAAACTCACCATAATGTAGGCACCGTACGCTCGTTGTGACTCGGTGATTATGATGCAGTGAGCGATGTTGATGTCCGTCGCCAGACCAGAGGGCCTCTATAGTACATCTATACCGACAATATGTAGACACCGTAATGTAGGGTGCCGTACACTCGCTGCGAATCGGTCAATATGATGGGGTGAGCAATGTTGATGTCCGTCGCCAGACCAGAGGGCCTCTATAGTACATCTATAGCGACAATGTGTAGACTCACCGTAATGTAGGCGCCGTACGCTCGCTGCGAGTCAGTGATGTTGATGGGGTGGGCGATGTTGATGTCTGTCGCTAGATCAGTGGGCCTCTATAGTACATCTATACCGACAATATGTAGACTCACGGTAATGTAGGCGCCGTACGCTTGCTGCAAGTCGGCGATTATGATGTCTGTAGCCAGATCAGCGGGTCTCTATAGTACATCTATACTGGCAATATGTAGACTCACCGTAATGTAGGCGCCGTATGCCCGCTGCGAGTCCATGATGTTGATGGGGTGGGCGATGTTCATGTCTATCGCTAGATCAGTGGGCCTCTATAGTACATTGATACCAGCAATATGTAGACTCGCCGTAATGTAGGCGCCGTACGCTCTCTGCGAGTTGGTGATTATGATGGGGTGAGCGATGTTGATGTCTGTCGCCAGATCGGCGGGCCTCTATAGTACATCTTTACCGGCAATATGTTAACTCACCGTAATGTAGGCGCCGTACGCTCGCTGCGAGTCAGTGATGTTGATGGGGTGGGCGATGTTGATGTCTGTCGCCAGATCAGCAGGCCAGCTGTCTGGGACAACAGCATCCGGGGCTCCTAGACTCCAATAAACCTATATAGAGAACAATAGTTTCTATCAACACTCATGTCAGCATACTCGAATTACGAAATTAAAGGTGGTTCTATAAAGACGTACTTTATAAACGCACATACATATAATTAAAAATAAAACTAATAAGAGTACTAGCTAGCTGTATCGTAAAACAACTTTTTAATCATACACTACACTTTTATTTTTAATTTAATAAATTATGCATTCGAAATTTGAAATTAATTTCTCGCGCTTCCCTTACAATTTTCTGCTGATCGTGTTTTGTTTTCGGTATTTCAGAGAAGTTTTGCAAAATATGTTTTTTTGTCACTTGAATTAATTTCAACTGTTCATATGAGCGAAGGTAATGTAGTATGTGCAACTGCATATAATTCAGGTATTAAAACACTCGAGTCAACCTATTATCGCATGAGGCGAATCTGAACAGACTCGTGTTTTAATGTGACTCTTTTGTATGACCCTATTAACTACTATTATGCAACTGTTGTATAATGAGGTATTAAAACACAAACTCATAAAATATTATGCATTGATAAAGTGTGTTAACATTTTTAAACTATTGGATAGTATAAATTATATAAAAAATAACCGTCAAATTAAAATAAAAACTTAAAAAACCGGTATCGCGGGTACAACACTACATGATAAAGCTCATTTCATTATAATGATTATTTGCAACTTGACATTTGCATGTGTCACACTTTTTGCCTCCGAGATTAAAAAACAGACTATAGTTCTATTGCCTGAACTGTTCTGTTTCAAATTATAAGTAATATGGCGGATATTTTTGTAATGTATGTCTTATAGGTGTTATTAATTACTTTCAACCTTAATACTAAGTCTTAAGAATGTGTTTTGTTTATAGTACTAATATTTTATTCAGAAGGTATCCACAAATCTTTTGTAATAATTTGGTACGGTGTCATCCTTCATTCTTCAATTAACCGTTGTACAATACGAACGTATTTTATTACTGCAATTCACAAATAGTTCAATTTTGATCTCATTGCCACCGCAAGGGCAGACCTTGCGGCGTATCACGGACGCGACATTTATTTTTAACTCAACATAATTGTTGCATGCAATTCTTTTTCGACGTTGCATGATAAATCCATTTTAAATTCAATGTTTACTACTTAGAAATAGAATAATCAATACTATTTAGAGGACTTAAGTTATTAAAAAAACGAGTGTGCTTATGATCACAAGACTGAAGTGAAACTTCTTTAGCTCCATCTGTATGTATGTGTGTACAATATATACATGTATGTACATATACATATTTTATTTACTAGCTATAAGGGAAAGAGAGGAAGAAAATGTGCGCGCGCACTGCATTCTCTTGCTTATATCCCCCACTCAACTCCCGTTCGCTTCGCCCGAACACACTTTTCGTAACGCGTAACGCATTCGCCAGCTTATCCCAAGTCAAGCGTGCGTAAAGAAGTTACACTTCAATAATTGCGTGTATAGTTATCGTTTCGAAAGTAGATAGAATGAACAAAATAGATGTTGTGAAAATATTTAAGACGTTAGGGCTATATGAAGAAAAAAAACTTACGTCAAATATCTTGCCCAGATCCGTGGCAAGACAGGAACAATTGTAGGCGACTATACCCAGCTCTTTCACCTATAACAAATTTTATTTTGATAAACACAAAACAATGTCACATATTATCTAATTGCGCAATCACTGTGTCAAAAACGGGGTTATACGGGTTTAAAAAGTGATACAAATGTATCGCGTTTGTAACTTACTAACACAAAAAAATGACAACGAAACTTTAAGCGTAACAGATTAAAGCTAAGTAGTTAAAAAGCATAAGAAATTCACGTTAAATCTAATATATAAAATTCTCGTGCCACGGTGTGCGTAACTGAACTACTGCGAAACGGCTCGACCGATTTTGGTGAAATTTTATATGCATATTGAGTAGGTCTGAGAATCGGTAAAATCTATTTTTCATCCCTTTAAATGTTAAGGGTGGTCAAGTCTTAATTTTTTTTTTATTATTTTACGTTACATCATACATACAACCCTAAATTTTCACCCTTCTGCCACCCATATTTTTATGGCGATACGAAGTTCCCTGGCTTAGCTAGTATGTATATATAATTTCCACCAAAGAAATTTTACCTGTGTTAGAGACCGCCAGTCCATGTTGGCACTACCAATGTAAAAATGTGTTCTATCTACAATCCAAAATTTGGTGTGCAATACACCATTCCCGAGGAGCTTTGAGAAATTTAAACTCCGCACCTGTAAAATATAAAACAATAAAATGTTTGCATAAAGCACGGCAAAACTAAAAAACATATTAAAAGTACTAAGGTAAAGCTCAAATACGGTTAAATAGGCTAAAACGATAGATAATGGTAAAACTGTATGTCGTCAGTTACGTTTTTATACTTAAACTAGCGGCCCGCCCTCGCTTCGCTTCGGTGTAGAGCTGAAGTGTAGACTACAGTTTTTGTTCTCAGGCTTGTATTATACACAATGACATTCATCTATGATTCTTCTTATACCTGGTAAAGTCTCAGCCTGATCGGTTTAAAATTGACAAAGTTTTATAGAAACTTTCATTCCTTATTTTATCCCCTTCGGGGTAGAATTGCTCAAAATCCTTTCTTAGCGATGCCTATGTCATAACTTCTACCTGCATGCCAAATTTCAGCCCGATCCGTCCAGTGGTTTGGGCTGTGAGTTGATAGATCACTATGTCAGTCAGTCACCTTTGAGTTTTATATATATAGATTGCTGAACTAGAGATTAAGTGAATTTTGATACAGATAGACTTTTAAGAAGGAAACAAACCTTACTTGTGAAAACTCTTGTTATGGGAATTAATAAGTACAATTTTATTCTATGTGGATGAATTGATTATATAACTTTTACTCCTTTTATTTGAAATTCGCGCAATAGATTAGCTTATGTCAGTCACATTTGAAATAAATTGATTGAAGGAGGATCTAAAAGTTAGACAACAAGCCTTGCACCAATTTGAATTTGTTTTCAATACACTTCCAAAATTTCACAATGCATTATAATTATTGTAAAATTTACTTATCAATATATAAAAGTATGCCCACCTGTGCAGCTTTCTTCTTAACTAAATATTCTGTATCTATATTAGGATATAACTTAGTGGGCCAATTTTGAGCAATTCTCAGATTAATATTTCGCTTTGACCCGGCAGCATATAAAGCTTGGAACACTTGCTCACCCTGAAAAAGGACAAAGGTATTGGTATCTGGAAATTGATTTTATCTTGTTTATCTCACTGTTTTTTGAAATAAATAATAGTACCAAAGACCGACAAAAACCAATGACCTACACTTCTCTCTGTGATCAATAAAAATAAGAGTAGGTAACCGATAAGAAAATATGGTAACATCTTGCACTTTGTGTAACATATTTAGCAGCTATCAGACACACCCTTTTATCATTGATCATAGAAAAAAATTACGATTACTGGCTCCTGTGGGTCATTGGTTCCACTACTGTACTAGGATTCAAATCCAAGACTTTTGGGACAAAAGTGCTGCCAATGAACCAGCTGGGCGTCAACCATACCAGAAAATTTGGTTATTTCACTAACAATTATTATATTAATTTGTAGACCTTAATATTATTCTTAGATAATGATAAAAAAAGAATACTGACTCACACTTACCTCAATTGAGGAATTATATGGATATTCTTCATTAAACCTAAGACTCCAGTAAAAGGATGCTATTTCTATAGATGCTTGAGCTTCATCTATTAAATCTAACCACACATTTTTTGTGGGAAGGTGTGTCATGTTGGGAGGGTACATATGGCCCTCCGGTATACTCTCAACTAAAGATAACCTGCAAAAATAGTATCAAGCTATATCTAGCAGATAAGTGAAAAATATACATAGTTAATATATTATAAATAAAAATAATAATATAAATACTTCATTCAAGCATATTTAAATGATATTTATTGCATAAAATAATTTCATATCCAATAAACCATTTGTTTTGTAAGAAATGTAATAATTTCATTATAAAAAAAATGTGCCTTAATATGGCACAAAAATGAAAAGAATTAAAAAGAAAATTACTAGAAGAGCTTGAATAATTTCATGAATGAAAAATAGTACCTACATACAACATAATAATTTAACAACATATACATATTACACTGACATCAAAAAATTGTTACCAGAGTGGGAAGATGATGACTTATAATGTAGACTACACCTCACCTACACTCATCTGAGCAATGCAAAGCGACGGGAGTGCTGGGAGTGGCCAACTGCACCACGTTGGGCTGGTCAAGCAACGGCACCAATACTACCAGCACTATTAGAACAATCACTATCGATACTGGTATGCAGGAGGGGCGACACCAAATGCTTCGTTTCTTTCTCCTAATGAAATTATAACAGATGTTTCTTTATTATTATTATATACCTAATTTTGCTATTAACAATGCTCTTTAACTTACAAAATTTAATTTGTAGATTCACCTAGAAACTTTTTTACATAAACTTTATGATGAGACTTGTAAATATCTCTTTACTGTACTGAATAAATTTCTATTAAGTATTTTTATCAGAAACCAAAGGTGTTGTATAACTATAAATGAAAAGGGACCCATTCAGGAGAACATATTAGTAGATATAAAAGATTAACTAAGTTTTGTAAGGTAAATCACATATGATAAATAAAAGGCTTTATATTTCATTATTTTTATAGCCACTTCAATTCAAATATTAATTGAATAATATACCATTCTTATTTCAGGCAGTGCCTGCATTCAAATACATGTCCCATAGATTATTAATTAAAATTACATCTACTTACATTTTGTAAAAATTTAAATTAAAGATTATTATTAACACACATCATTCTAAATCTTTTATCTGTCAATCATTATTTCATATTGTGTTAAACATTGTATTATTTTCTATCTAGTTTTCAGATTAAGTACTTACTTATCATTGTAACTATTTCCATTCTCATCTCGCATCATGAATATCTGCTCCCACTGCTCCAATTCTTCATCAGACGATGAAGCGTTCCCCACACTCCCTGACTCTAGCACAGTCTGGAACAAACAATAAAAGAAAATAAACAAAAGAGCATGTGCCAATATTGAAGTTTTTATGTAAGTGCCTAGTAAAATATTTTTAAACATAGGTAATGTAACATATTAAGTATTTAAATATTCCTTGTTACATGATTTGAAAAGGAAGGTACAGGTACATAGAAATATATAATGTGTAGTACACTTTTCTATACAAATATTTTAAACAAATAAGCGACTACATAAATAAATTGCTGAATACAAACTTTTAAACGCGTCAACAACTCTTTCGGCAGTTTAATCAAATAATTCATTTTCAGTTTTAGCCCAAATACTGTTAACCTCTTGGAACAAAGAATTGGTTATCTAATTGTCACTTCAACCGTAACAAAGGAAATTCTATAAAATAATGCAACATTTAACAAAACAAATGAACAAAATAAAAGAAACGAGTACAAATCAAAAACGTCAAATTCATATGATGCCGGCACTTCATTCACATCACATGGCTATTCGTATTAGCTATTTGTGATCTTGACAGACATCTCTCCTTTTCATTCCTTGATTTAAAGACAACTTGTTGTCAAAATGACAAATAGCAAGTTCGAATGCCTATACGTATTTGTTGTTTGTAAACTTGACAACAGTCTGTCCTTGTAATGCTTTTTATGAATTAAGAAAGACAGACTGTATTTATAGCCAAGTAAAGTGCCTGCAAGATATGACAATGACACTGATCACAGGCTGCAAAATTTTGTAGGCTCAGGCTACTAGTCTGGAGCATCGCTACACCTCCAGTTACCCAAAACTGTTGATTTTCTTCAACTGACATTGAGTTTCATAATGCTGAAAGATTCACATTTTTTTACCGACTTCAAAAAAGGAGAAGGTTCTATGTTCGACTGTATATTTTTTTTTCTTCAAAAAATACAGTCTGGTAACTTGATAATATGTCGGTGGCTGTACCTGTCGGTGGATGCTTTAAACGCGATTATGTCCATGATGTATAAATCTAGGATTTCGACAACATACGATAGGCTTATGTAAATGGCCCGAAGATACAAGATGGATGCAAGCAAAATCTCTCATTGGCGAGGACAAATTACCTAAATAAAAAGCTAAAAAATCTAGTTAGCTTTAAATATCTATTTGCTTAGAAAATATATTCCCGCAGTATTTATTAGGTACGGTACAAATCAAAATTGCGACTAGTTTTATTATGACAACCCAAATTTCACCAAACTCAACGGCGGCAAAACCAAAATAACTTCAAAACTTTCACTTTCTTTAAAACATACAAAAGTTGTTGTAGGCACCTATTACTATTTTTATTTAAGTATTTAAGATTATTTCACATTACTGACAGACCTAGTACATTATTAAAGTAAGTTAACAATTTCACTTTGAATCACATCATAATAATATTAATGTGGATTACTAACCATCTATTAAGTTGAAAGATGCACGAAATTATTTGTAAACTTGATCCTATAATAAAACTAAAATCACATTTGACACCAGATGAACTTGATAATATGCAATCACGAATAGAACACGTATAAAACTGCATTTTCGTATATCCTGTCGTCCCTTCACAAACCGTGCAGGCGCATTAGTAGCAAAAATATTACTGCAAAGCAGATGACGTCGGCAACAACCGCATTGTGCATGTGCATTTTAAATACTAGGTTACTACAGACCGATATACTATTCAAGTCTGAACTTTCCTACCAGATAGATGCCATTAAACTTGTGGTTTTGCCCACATTTATTTGCAGCATTAGAAACAGTAGGTTATGTAAATGGTTCATACAAAATCTATTGTATGCAGCCAGGACAATGATGCGTGAATGACGTTAGTTTATATTACTACTTAAGTTTGATGCTGTATTAAAACCTAAAACACAAATATTTTTGATTACTATAACTACATTTATAAAGGTACTAAAGTACCTCTATGGAGATCTTACCTCTGAAGGCTTTGATGCGGCACAAAACTCGCGTGTTTATAGTAATCAGCTAATCACTATTCAAATGGCTGTAATTACTCACGAAAATCCCACAATCCTGACGCGACGTGTGAACGCGGCTGTCGGCTATTTTATACTGTCACTGCTTTTGGTTACTATTTAATATATTTTTTATGATTTATTTCACTTTGTTGACTGGCATCACGAAATATTTTAGGGAAAATGAAAATTAGATAAATTAATTATCTTTAGCTAATTACACTTTGCTACATTAAACGTTACATAACGTCGTTGATATGATTTTTGTTACAATACTAGTTGATTAATTTTGTAAAATAGTTTGCCTAACCTGCCTACCTACATGGAGGACCTACTCGATGTGATTAAATGCCTCGCAAAAGTTATCAATGGGTCATGGACTAAAACCTTATTCTCTATCAAAGTTATTGAATCAACAGAAATCATTGCCATAAAATAGACTGACTCATTCTCACTTGTTCAATCGAAAATAGTAGATGTGGGAACAGCTTTTAAGGCCAACCTTTTGAGTAGAAAGTGAAAAGTCATGTTTAGTTGTATTGATATATGTTAGCCATGAAAAAGCAATCAGGTGTGACAATTTACAAAAACTTGATGTCTTACAAAAAATATGCTTATAAATATCAAACTTTATCAAGGTTAGCACTGACGCTTCACGAAGGTGTAAGAAATACTACTATTCATAGCATAAAATATTGAAATTTAATAAAATATCCTATCGGCCCAAATAAATATTTTATAACCTATTTATAAAAGAGTGGGGGGGAGACCTTTTAAGGGAAGAAAACGGTTTATCGCGATTTTCGAGAAAACTGCAATATTCTCATCGAAATTTTTGAATGACAAAATTGTATATAAGTGATCAAAAGATCGACATCTTTTGTATTTACACTTTTTCACATAACCTAAAAAATCCTACTTCCTTGCGACTTCAAACTAGAAATATCAACAAATTCTTGAAGTGGTAAAGAGCCAACAAGGAGACCAACGAAGCAATCATCAGGTTTTAGCAATCATAATACTGGTTTTACTAAACTAAGCTTAGCGAAAAAATTACTAATGCAAACTCAGATAAACCATTCTCTTGAACTATTTTATGACTGCCAACCAACCGTAATAAATTTGTTATGGTCCATAAAGAGGGGTTCAATTACGGAGATGAAATTTAAAGGTGCCAGCGTTTGCAGGGATTACGGATATTAGTCGTACTAATTCATCCATAGAATGCCTTTAACGCGTTCTTTAAAGGTCAAACTGGTAATTCTCATTAACCTTTATTGGATTTAATAGTACCTATGAGCTGTTATTAACCTAAGTAGGTATAGACGCCATGATCAAACCGGGCTCAGAGCGGATTGGTGGGTACTAACAAATGCAGATGCAGTCAGGAAGAGGAGCTCAAGATAATAAATGTTTGGTCTCCCATCTTATGATAGACCATTGCGAAAATTGCTAACCTATGCATATATTTAACTCCTCACATTTAAGAGTGGACGCGAGCTAAAAGACATTTGAGAAATAGGTACCTATTTCAAAAAAGTATTGCTACCACGCATTGGCAAATACCGTGTGATAGGGACAACAGTACTCCTAGCACGAACCATTATCGAATTCGAATAGTTTGCAAACCTGTTTCTGTAGTTTACGCTGAAAATTGAGTATAAAAATTGCAAAATTCGAGGGTTTGGCTCTACGATTTCCTCCTCGAAAATTAGATATATGTAAAAGAAATACACAAAGAATAAGAAGTTACTACTTATTATTCTTTGTATGTTTTGATTTTTTTGTAAATGCTTATAAAATCTCCACACTAGACGTCTTTAGTGGTGCTAAAAATATGTTTATTTTTGACCTTTGTCGAGGGCTTCTAGTTTTTTTATGACACATATGTTATCGCAAAAAGGAAAATATAGGAGCATAGAATGAGTAAAATTATATATCTATATATATAAAACTCAAAGGTGACTGACTGACATGGTGATCTATCAACGCACAGCCCAAACCACTGGACGGATCGGGCTGAAATTTGGCATGCAGGTAGATGTTATGACGTAGGCATCAGCTAAGAAAGGATTTTGATCAATTCTACCCCCAAGGGGATAACATAGGGAATATAAGTTTCTATGAAACTTTGTCAATTTTAAACCGATCGGGCTGAGACTTTGCATGCAGGTATAAGAAGAATCATAGATGAATGTCATTGTGTGTAATACAAGCCTGAGAACAAAAACTGTAGTCTACACTTCAGCTCTACACCGAAGCGAAGCGGGGGCGGGCCGCTAGTTATGTATAAAAATCAATTCTTTAGTGATAAAAGTCAAGGAGGAATCAATTTGTATGAAATAAAACATTGTGCGCCTCCTAATGTTCATACTCAGTACTATAAACAAATTTTATGTACAAAAATATCATGAATGTAACGTTTCCACATTTTATTAGGGACAATAATACAGGGAAGACTTTCCATTCGTGTAGCTATATTGTTTCACAGAATTTGTAAAATAAATCTGCAAAATATATATTTTTTCTAATACCCAGAATGAAAAACCTTTGTGTCTAACTCTTTTCAGTCAGCATATTACAGAGACGTCTGAAAAAACAGACCGCTAAACAAAATTGCATGTAATAATGGAGCTAGCACAAAGAGTTCGGTCCTTATTGTGTTCTAGGGTTACGTTAAAATATTCACGAGTTCACTACGTTATCTGGAAAGGTATGGGGTAATGTACGACACGAGAGCACGTTATTACTACAGCGAGATCACGGCAGGTGGGGCTGGCAGTAACAAAAGGAGTGTATTTTTCTATTGCGGTCGTTATAAAGTTTTGAAAATTAATGGTGGCCGACCCATACAACAAATGTAATTATTTCGGCGTAAGTTGAAGCAGAAGGCAAGATCGCTTCAAAGGGTCGCTACAATTGCACCAGCTGGTCTGGCTCCAGTCATGAAACTTGTCTCCTTTCTGTATAAGATTTGCCAATACTTGCTTCAAATGTTCACTTTTTTGTTCTTAATTTAATCCAGTCTGACCAAACGTCACCAAACATTGCAATGTATTTTATACCATCTCTATACTTATGTGTTTACACAGGTATTTTCTACAAACATTTCACAGAATATGACATTCCTAAAATGTTTCTTAATATAATGGCGTGATTACATTTGGTCGTTAGCCCGAATACGAGTGCCAATGGAATTCGTGTAAACGACTAAGTATAAATGAACGGAGTTGAGTACGACTGATTTACCCAACTCCATCTTCCAGTCCGAATTCAAGTAATTGTGCACCCTAATACGGGCTAACGACCAAGTGTAATTGAGCTATAATACGTTTACCGTCCTACCCCTTTCCTCTATACCCATGGACTTATTATATATAACAATTCCATGGATATACCTATATCATAACAATTACCGTAAGTACTTACTCATG